ATATATATAAAATTGAGTCTCCCTGATTGCAGTATGATACTGATGAGGAGAAAATTGATCAACTTCAGATTTCTTTGCTGCTGATATCTACAATCAGCTCACAAACCTAATAGAAGCTTAAGCTTTCTGTGAGTTTCACTTTGGCAAAAATGAGAATATTAAGTATTGTGTTTGGTCTCAGAATGACCTTTGAGTCAATTTTTTCTATCTTTCTAAGAAATTGTATGTCCTATATTTTGCCACCTATACTATAGAATCTATGCAGCATAACTCTCGTTCCTCTGAGATGGGGCCTCAGTAATTCATTCAGAACAAAAGAAAAATCCTGCAGCAATTGTAATTCTCATTAGCTTTCTCACATAGTTCTCATTTATGTATCTGCAAAAACATGCTAAATTCTTCATTAATTTATTGTTAATTATCTGCTAGGAGAATCAGTGACTAATCAGGCTGTGTTACTTGACCAGGGTCTCTGAATAAAGGCTCACATATTTTTGTAAGGAACAAAAGACTTATCAGGAAGAAAATAGAAAAAATTAGTAAGATCTTCAAGGGAAGGTTTTACCCCTTGCAGTATGTATATGCATGTGTTAATTGTTTTGGTTATTCTTAAATTGGTTAATGGATTTTGTCCTAAAATTCAACTTCACATATATCTATGTTTTAGTCAAGTGCTATTGTTTTCCTTTAATTCATGTTTTCTCAGCAAGGAATTTGATCAAATAATAAGTGTGGTCAAATGATTTTTGTTTCTTTCCCCTTAATCAAATAAATAAATAAATAAACATTTAAATAAATAAATAAATATAAATAAATATATAAATAACTATCACATAAGATTTTACAATATATAACGTCACTTGCTATGCACAGTGATGAACTGTTTAATATTTAAGAGTAGGTGAAAAACGTAATAAGGTTTGTACATCTCTTTCTAAATTCATTTTTAGTGTGGCTATTGAATATTTTAGATTAAGCTACAGTTTTGGAAGCAGGGAGCTCATTCTGACCCTAAGGACATAGTCAGCTAGTTCATTTTTATTTTTATTTAGAGGGCTACAGATATCAAAGCATGTGGTATTTGAAATTACCACAAGGACAGTGGAATTTTCAGGTGTGGACTTCTATGGCTATCAAACCTGATGTCTCCTTCTGTAAATCCCTCAGTACTCCTTACCACTGGCTTTCATTGCAACTTGTGCAGCACCTACACCAGGTACAAGGTTTAAAGGAAGACTCTTTTAAAAAATTTACAGTAGTGTAAGGTGCTGCAGATACTACAACTGCAGTGTTGCCTCTGAAGTAACCAATCTCTGCTTTTGGTTGTATTTAATGACATCTTATTTACCTTAGTTTGTTTCCTGTTAGGCTTTCTAAAATACACAAATATCTGCTTTTTGCTAACTTTTTATGCTTTTGTCCTTGTAACCATTGATGTAGGTGACTTTTTTTTCTTCCTCTGTGTGTATTTTTTTTCCCTCTGTAGCAATATTAAAGATATCCACTCAGTTCTGGAAGTGACAGTTTATGATGAAGATCGAGATCGGAGTGCTGACTTTCTGGGCAAAGTTGCTATACCATTGCTGTCTGTAAGTTTCATTCACCTGACATACTGCTCTGTATTTCTCTTGCTCAAGGAAAAAAAAATCTCAGCTCTTTGTCTGTCATTTTTCAACCAAGGTCTGTAATAAGAACACTAAAATTTTAACATACTCAATTCACGGCCATGTTGAATCCCATGATAGTTAATTTTTCCTGACAGACTTGGTCCTGGTAATGAACAGGTACTTGTCAGAATTGCCACAGTTGTTTTGGGTTCTCTGTCAGTTTCAGCAGCTGGGGGTCAAAGGTCACTGAGGGAGTGTATTCAGTGGAGACCGTGAGACAGACGGCTGTCATGTCCTTTTCCCGCAGATTCAAAATGGTGAACAGAAAGCCTACGTCTTGAAAAACAAGCAGCTGACAGGGCCAACAAAGGGGGTCATCTATCTTGAAATAGATGTGATTTTTAATGCTGTAAGTCTTAACTTTAGCTTTTTTGTACTGCTAAAGAGTTCAGTTTCATGAAAGCTTTTGTTCCTGATTTGTAGAGAATTTCTGTCATTCCTCATTTTCTCTAAACCTTGATGTATACTACAGAATGCTCTTCTGCCACTGCCTGGCACACCCACTCTTTTTGTTACTGTGCTGCTGCTGCTGCTGCTTCTAGTGCTGCTAATGTAAGAAATAGAAGCTTGTGCCTGTATATACATTTATATTTTGTGGGCTTGGCAGCCATGACTTTGGAACTTTATAATTATTGCAAATTGAAGTGTGTGTCATTACTAAGTATGAAATAAGCCCATAATATTGACACATATTTTGGTGTATAGGTGAAAGCCAGCATACGAACATTAATGCCCAAAGAACAGAAGTACATTGAAGAGGAAAACAGACTGTCTAAACAGGTAAAAAGTATGAAAAGAGTAATCTGTTTGGAAAGGCTTAAGGATCAGGTGTAAGCTGCTAAATATCTCCTATCAAACTGCTATGTGTGGAAAGAATTACATGTCCATTTTCTGTTAGCAAAAATGAATTCTGAGATGTAAGAATGGTCATGAACAATATACTTTTTTTATTGTATCTATTCATTCTATACTGCAGTTTGATTTTTCATGAAATGTCTGAATGAGAACACAGTTGAAATAATTGGCGTGTCCACACGTATCAGGTTATATACCACAGGTGGATGTAAACTAAGTCTAGCATAAATTTTTGCTCTTGACCTTCACTTGAAAGAACTCCATTTTGTTGAGGTTAGGAGCATAGTATCAACAGTCAGTTAGATTTTAAGTGTGTTATATGGTATTTAGAGACAAGTGAAACAAAATAGTTTATGACTTTTCAGTGCTATTTAGTTGTTATAGAAACAGACTATTATAATTGCTTTAAAAATGCATCTTGTGATATTTCCAGTTAATTTACATTTGGTAGAATTCTTTGCAAACCATAGTTCTGTATTTTAGTTCTTGGGAGTTGAGTTGAGTTGTGGGAAGTTGCTTTTTTGTTGTGCATGGTAGGAAAGGCAAAGTTTTTAAAGTGTTTTTTTTGTAGGAGCATATTGAGTTCAACTACTAATGAACCTTCATAAACCTTAATGTGATTTACATTATCTACCACATGAACCAAGTATCCATTGTCCATTGTATTTCACAGAAGAGATTGCAAAAGGGCAAAATGCTATCTTTCTTCACTATTGTAGGGAAAGCAGTTTCTAGAGCTGCATTTTTTCACCATTATTACAGCAAACAAACAAGAAGGCCTTTTATTCAAGACTTGCTGTTCTCCCTACTTTCATAACAGAAAATGATTGTTATTATACTTGCTTGCAGATGGCAAAGGCAATAACTTTAAATACCCTCTTTTGGTTTTAGAATATTTGCTTACAGTACAGCCTATAAAAGAAAAAACCTATTTAAAAATTAAAAAGAGAGAACTTCATTAATGATTGCTGTAGTAACATTTTAAAATATCCCTGTTACCTGGTAATTGGTGGGTTCTTCTTTAAAAGTAAAGTGTTAATCCAATACTCAAATTAATTATGATGGCTACCTTAAGATAATAATGATGCCTAATATATCAGTAATTTAAAGTTTTCTCCCTGAATTGAAATCTTTTCCTCCCTGTAACTCAGTTTGTACAAATAAATATAAAGAATTCTTCTTGTTAAGATTATAGCATTAAACCTTTAGAACTAATGGTAACTGAAAAGACCACTATCACAGTGTATAGCCAACAGGGAAAAAATAGATATATGAAGTATCTTGGTTTGTTTAGAGCAATAATTTGGTATTATTTGCAGATAATATCTCACAACACACATTTACAAGCAAAGGCCAAGATTTTCAAACTGTTGAAGTCAGAGAGATACTGAATGTTAGTCATCCCTGACAAATCACACCATTTAGCTAAATTTTGATGGCTGAGCCTAAATGTAGGTACACACTACTGAAAGCCTTGGTCATAGAATTTAATAAAATTCCAAAAGCTCAATAACTAAGTGATACATAAATCCTTGTGCATAATTTTTTTCATATTTGAATACTCACCGTGAATTAGGATAAATGCAACAGTTTGTATATATTTCAGACTTATAAACAGTAGAATTAAATTTAGCATGTGATAAACTGTCTTGTGTATTCCTTTGCCCCTCCAATTTTCCAATACATAGTAGTATTCTAAACCTACATCTAAACAATTTGGCAGATTTAACATGTCTATTGAATCACCATTGAATCACCCTGCATTGAATCACCCTGGGGAACATCACCATAAAAAGCCCACACTGCCCACCCACTTTTCTCCACATCCTAAGCGTTAACAGGATGTAATTTAGCTACTGTTAGAGCAGTGGTGGGCATGCCCAGTGCTGCTGTTATAGCATGACTGACACTGAGAATCTGGGTATGCTGTGGGCAGGGCATATGCCAGACAGCAGCTATGTGACATTCTTTTGGCACTTAAGCTAGGCACAAACATTCAAAAAGCCTGAGCCTGAATTGATTCAGTCTTTGCAGGTTAGTCTAACCTGGCTTGGCTGAACCAGTTTGCAAGTGCACAGACATTCCCTCTGGACTGAGGAAATGCAGGCATATGTCTGCAGTGGCTCAGGCTAGAAGCCGGGGGGTGCTAGAGAACCCTCCCTTCCCTTCTATAGTGCTGAGCTGAGGGGCGGCATGGCCAGGTCTTGGCAAGATACTCTGATTAGGTAGGGGCCCCCCACCCTCGCTGCTCCTGACCAGGGAGGGAGCCAGAGGCAGTTGATAACACAGCATTTAGCACCCCATCAAGAAATAAAAAGCCTCTTTCATTAGTTCAAGCTCTTCTTAAACAACTTTTTCCAAGGAAGGAACGGAGGGACTTTACCAACGGACCTGTTGATTAGCTCCAAAAATCCCTAAGCAGACAGTATCCTGTCAGCTTTTGTTCTGTCTGCGTTACACAGACACTTCTCGGCATTAGCTAGCATACCACACGCTCGGTAGGGTCTGTGCTGTGAGAAAAGGGAGGGGGGAATCCCTACTTGAGCAGGGAGTGCTCAAATAGGGATTCCCTACTTGAGAATAGGGGGAAGCTAGGCAGACACTACTGTGCCTGCCATCTCTGCCTAAGCTGCACTTAGGGAGCAGAGGGGAGGGGCCAGCCCTGCTCTGTAGCCGAAAGCCCCACCCAGGGCTGCAAAGCATTTGGGGTGCTGGGAGACTCTGGTTTAAGTTAAACCAGGAATGGGTCTGGTACGGACATTGCATAAACCAGTTTACCGAACTCAGTTGAGTCTGCTACTACATTCAACCAAGTTTCTCGAACCAGTTTCAGCCATTTTAAAGCTGGTGTATGTGCACTGAACATCTGTTCTGTTACAGGTTTAAATCAGTTTCTGATCACTTAAACTGGTTTATCTGTATGTCTATCTTTAGCTTTAATGTTTTTAGAGCTGGAGCAAGTGCACAAGGCATATTTTCATGGCCTCGTTCATAATCACAGTCCAACTTGGCATGGAGATGGCCACTCTTTCAGTTTTAATAACTTGTTTTAACCCAAGGGAGTGTGAATATATTCTAAGCAGTCTTGATAGTGTGAAATTGTGTGAGGTCTTGTTTTTCCTGATAATATTTTCATCTTTCCCACAGCTGCTACTAAGAAACTTCATCCGCATGAAGCGTTGTGTCATGGTACTTATAAATGCTGCCTACTATGTAAACAGTTGCTTTGACTGGGATTCACCTCCAAGGAGTCTTGCTGCTTTTGTGGTATGATCATCTTGTAATATTTCTCATCATTTTTGCTCAAAGTGGTTTGTTTGGTTGGGTACAATGTTCCTGTTATCATCCAGTCTTCAAAATGGCTGTATGGCCTTGGCTTTCCTCCAGGCTGAAACTCAACCTATTTTTATATGTACTTTTTATATAAATTCTAAAAACAGAATTAAGTTTAAAAGTTCATGGGTGCAAGAAAGAAAAATTTTGCCTGGTGGATACGTGTATAAATAAGATGGAGCAAAACCAGAATTTGCTAACAATTCATTTTTTCCTTGCACAAGTAGTTCCTTTGACACCAGTATTATCAATTTGCAGGGCTTGGCACAATATCTGTCTTTTTTTTTTCCTCAATTTTTTTTGTACTTTAAAATTAGAGTTGTTTAAAATACAGACCTCTGAGGGAAAAGCCTTTATACAGATGTTTGGTATACATTATTAACATGGCATTCATGTTACGAGGGGAATCAGATCTTTCACTTGCTAAATAAGTATTATATCTGAAAATTTGCTCATAAAAATATGAGCACCCCTAGACCAAAACAGTTACTTCTCAGACCAAATGTAATTGTCTGCTGTAAATATTCTTTTTTCAGTCTCTAAATTCTGGCTCCAGGTTGCATCTTGTGGTCCCATGAAACTCTAATTGCACCCCAAACATTATATTGTTAAGGTTTGCACGCTTGATATCAAATATAGAAAATTTAGAGTTAAAACTCTGTGTCCTCTTAGTAAATTCTGTGCACTTGATGTTGTTGCTTTATAATGACATGAGCTTCAAACCCACAGCCAAATTCGTCACTTGGATTTTGCCAGTTGGACATCCAGATTGTCAGGGTGGGAGGGGATGTACGCACACAACTTTGGGCAGACTCAGAAACTGACTGCTGTATCTCACAAGTGGGAAGAGCTGTCTGGGGTGTCTTGAAGCTGCACTGAATCACTACGCCTAGGCAGGGATCCTTTTGTACTGTGTCTAGCATTTAAAGCAGTTGTCTTCTAACAGGGGGTACTGTACCACTACCTAGCCACCATTGGGAGGCAAATACTTGCCTTGTTGCAGCTTCTGCAAGTGTGAAAGGGTTGTGTATGACACCTCAGTGCACACAGATATGAACATTACACAAAGAATGGGTTTGAACTGTGAACATCTCAGTTTTTGACTAATGCTGTTGTCTACGATACTATATTTATATCTTTTGGGCCTTAATTTAAAAGGGTGATAAACTTCTCTCCCTGTTTCTCAGTTTAGATGATAAAAACTCTGTTATGATAGTGCGTGCTTCTCTGTAAGGTCACATTTTCACATTAGCACTGCTATTCAGATCAGTAAATGTTCAGCTGTCCAATTCTCCTTTCACTGGGGGGATGGAAATCCTTTTAATGTCAATAGGATATGGGGAAATGTATGGCAAGCATGGTCGTTTCTATCTTGTGGTCCACTGCTGTCACCATGAAGAAAGTTGTGTCACCATTTATCTTAATAGAACATGACCAGAAGCCATCTTAACAAGCAGTTCCAAATAGATAAATGCAGACCTTTTATTTTGGTGCCATAGCAAATATTCTTTTTACACTAGTTATAGTACATTGTAGTAGAAACATTTCTGCTTATAGAAAAATATACTTGTTTTTCTTCCCCCACATAACAGACCATATTTTTTTGTAACAGTTACTTTAAGAACTGGCATTGATATACTGCATCTATTTCAGTACTGTATCTTTAAAACTATTTCAGTCCTGCCCTACATCATAGGGTTCTACTTATGGTTACTATTTTCAAGTCTCTCTTTTCAAAGAGCGTGTCTAAACAGGTATTTTTAAGACTTTTTTTTTCTGCTTCCTGTGTTGTAAAAAATGTACATAACTCTACCTCTCGTTAAATAGACATTTGTTACTTAACAATAGCTATGAGAATTTAGCAAGGAATTTAACAAGGATCAGTGGAGGTTGTGATTCAGAGTTGTAGCTGGAATTTCATAGCTTCCCCACATCCCTGTAAAATTCAACACTGTCTTGTGGAAGTGTGGTTATGGGTAGATGTAAGACTAAATCATTTTAAAAGGTGGGGGAGGATGGTGAATCTACTGACTGGCAGCAAGTGTCAACTGGTCCTCCACAGCAGTTTTGTCTGCCCATTCGTATACCATTGTACTGAAGTTAATTTGCTGTACCTTTAAACTTAAATGAAGCAGACTTAGGAGCCCAATGCTGAGCTGGGCCAGATGAAATGCCTAAAGGGTCATTCTGGTGGTCTCAGGGCAACCCCTAAATTTATAACAATATTGAAGGCATGGCAAGTGATAGTGATGGAGGTGACTGATGGAGTGTCCAGAATGCCTAATAATCTCAGTGAGATGCTAGATTGCACAAAGCACCAAAGGGAAACAGAAGCCTGTTACACATACCACTAAACAACATTTTATAAATTAACTTTAAAATTAACCATTCAGTCTCCTAAAAAGACTGGAAGACATAGGCTTCTAGATTAAGCCATGTTTGATATACAGTAGTAAAATAAGGGTTTCAGGAAGTTTTACAAAATGAAAAACTGATTTTTTTCCCAAATCATCAAAATCCTTGAATAGTTTGTTTGACTGATCAAAATTTATGATAAATCCCAAATTCCCCTTCTTCCTGTCTCGCTCCAGTCCCTCCTTCTAGATATGCTCACATGCACATGATGATAGAATACTGTAGAAAAGAAAATTCTAAAATCAATGAAGAAAGGAATACAAGGGAGTCACAACTTCAGGTGTGATGAGATAATCTTTCCATATCAGACGATCTACACACTACTGAAAAAAAACTTTATAATGAAAACACAAACAGACCTTTTAAATTTATATGGTAATGCTATTTTAAGTTAGTTATTTACTCAAGGTTTCTTATACATTCAAATGTTCACTGATGCTCTTTTCAAAGTTAGTAGGTTTAGTGGTACAGTTTTTGACTTTGGGAATCATAGCAGTCATCTTAGGCTATGCCTCTGCAGTAAACTTGCCATCCTTATCACACTGTGCTGCTCCAGGTGAGTTTCCTCCTTCTGTGTAGCACTTGGGACAGCTAATTAGTCCATTTGGGCTCATTAGCTCACCGTGGTACATATGTAGTTGTAGCTATACAGCTTGTTTTTTAAGAAGTTCACCCAGAGCAACACAGCATTCTTCAGAACTTCCTCAATGTGATGTTGAGTTTACCAGATAAACCTACCCCAGGCTATGCCTACATGGGGCCCATTTACATGTACATGAATGTGCCATTGTTACTGTGCATTAAGTTTAGTACCTCTAATATAACTACCTAAATGCACAGTAGCCGGCACTACTGCACAGTAGCAAAGGCACATGGTCTTTTCATGATGCTTAATGCTCAGTAGACTAATTCTATGGTGCATTAACCTACTGCACATTAAGCATCTTATGGAGATGTGCCTATAGAGACTAGAAACTTTAAAGTATTTCAGAATGATTTTGTCCCAGAACTGGGTTGCCTGTTGAACTTCAAAGTCCAGTGAAATGCTAAAAAATTGTCGACCTGGGGTTCCAGTTTATTTTTTCTCATGGATTTCCAGACCTTCTGGAAGTCAAGCGTGGGGACTTTCTAGCTTATACATCACCTGTACAAAAAAACTCTATAAGTCTGTTGCACTTTCAAAATACCATGATCTTCAAAGGGAATTTTCCATGAATAACGCCTTCAGTATCTGCTCAATTTTTACTTTATTTTTTTTACTGTGGCTCAATAAATCACAGTAAATATAAAAGTTTGAGAAGCATCATATTATTACTACATAAATACATTTTTTGAATGAAAGCTTTTATATTATTGTGTCATTTACTTTAGTAGGATATTCTCAAGAAAATCCTGCTTCTGCGTTAGCAGTTCATGAAACATAAATTATATGATCAGAATGACCTGACTTTGAATCTAAAATATCAGTAGAATTGCTATGCTGACAATATCTTTTTGTCAAAATATCTTCCTCGTATATTTTCTTGGCCAACTGTTAAATAAAAGAAATAAATAGCAACAATATCAAATTAATATCAAAATTGTAAAACAGCCCTATTAAATCTTCAGTGGCTCTATTTTGCCAGGATATTGGTCACAGATAGAAAATGTGATTTTTTTTAATAGTTATGATACTCTAACACCTAGGCAAAAAAGAAATAAGTATAATACAAAGGGGGAGCCTTCACTTTAAATATGATGGCTTTCCTTTAGGCAAGAAAAATACTTAACATTATCTCAACATATTTTTCTTCTAAATATTAATTAATCAATAATTAGTATGGTATTTAAGTACATAAATTTGTACTGTTATATAATATGCACAAGCGGCAAGGTTTCTTTTTGGACTCATCTTCTGTAGGCACTGAAACGTCTACTAAATTGAGCCTAATTTCCATCAGACTCTTGACCAGACATTTGTGTTCTTGTGGATGTCAGTGGGTGCAGCATAGGGGGAAAAAGTGTATACTCTCTCTTTCCAGTACTGTCATTTCTCACTGTAATGAGTGCAAAAATAATTGGACAACTGAGCTATCAGTAAAAGGACACACTTCAACGTGAGTCAATGAATTATTTTACAGGACAAACTTTAATCTTTAAATGTGATTGTAGATAATTTGTGCTACCATCTGTCCATTTGGAATTCTTTTAGCCTTTTCAGTCGTTATATAGTAAGTGTTGCCGTGTTTAACATTAACATTTGATATTTTACACATTTAATTTCTGTACTGCTGCATGGTCCTTGGGGAGCTGCGCTCTAGTGCTACATGAGAGAGACAAAGTATTGATCAGTTAACATTTCAGCTACATTTATGTATGTCGCAAAATTAATGAAAATGCCAGACAAAAATGTCAGAGTGCACAAAAAGGTAGAATTTAAATTTGGTAGTTTAATGAAAAGTTTAAGATGTGCATTATCAAAAATGTCCCTTTGCCTTTAAAGTACAATTCATAACAGAATAACTAAAGGAACCACATAT